TCTTGGACCCGGCTTTAACCTTTGATCACACATAGGAAGACATTATATCTACTTTGAACCCATGTATTGGAGCCCTTCTCAACTTTGCCTCTTCTCTGTCCGCTAGTTCTCGTTCGTTCAGTTTAAAAATTCAGTATTTGTCTCAGCCATTCCCATGACGGAGAATTCAGCAGACTGCGATCATGTATCTTCTTGAACATTTCTGGGCGTCTCTGCGGCTTTCTCAAGACATATCTTAAGGAGGCAGTATCTGCAATATCTTCTCACTATCTTCCCTTCCTATACTCCTCAGTTTGGCATCAGCAACACATTTTGATATGCAGAACCACGCCCTTCTGCTAAGCATATACCAGGAGTATAATAGGGCAAAGGAGTAGCCCTTTCAGAACCTCAGTTTGTTATTTGCCCTCTCTTGATGTTCCAGTGTTCTCCAGGTTACCTCTTTCTCCATTCCCAATAACAGCCTCCCTGCATCTGGCCTTCTTCTCTATATTATGTATCAGCCTCCAGAGGACACTGGTTCTATATAGTCTCCCCGGCTTGGCGCCTTCTTTTGATAATTACTTACTTCCAGCAGGCACTGTGTCGATCACCTTCTACACTCCTGGAATGTGAAGTCTACCCCATCATTACATACCTAATCTGTCAGGTGACTAAGGCCTCTAGTGGGTTTATAAGGCAGTGTTTACCACGCAGGATCCCAGTTGGTGTTTTGTGATAATGTTCCTCTTTTCCAGTTCCACTGACCTCTTCCTTATCCTCTATATCTCTTTGCATTTTATATACCGTCCTGTATTTTTACATTTCCTGTATTTCCTGTATTTTAGTATTTTCTGTCTGTTATGTCTTATTTTCTCAATAAAGTGAAAATATTGACTGTCGTGTTGTTGTGGAAGCTCTAAAAAATGTCAGAATTCTAATACTATTACCGTTTATTTTTCTGTTAAAGAATAATTCTATGTTTTAAATAACATCTATATCAATCTTTGCAATATAAACTTTTAAACTTTTAGATTAACATTTTTAATTACAGTTTGGTGTAATTATTCCCTCCAATACAATCTTTTACAGATAAAATGTTTCACAGTGTGTGTGTGTACTCACCTATTTGTACTCACCTATTTGTGCTTTCGGGGGTTGAGCTTTGGCTCTTTGGTCCCGCCTCTCAACTGTCAATCAACTGGTGTACAGATTCCTGAGCCTACTGGGCTCTATCATATCTACATTTAAAACTGTGTATGGAGTCAGCCTCCACCACATCACTGCCTAATGCATTCCATCCGTTAACTACTCTGACACTAAAAAAGTTCCTTCTAACGTCTCTGTGGCTCATGTGAGTACTCAGTTTCCACCTGTGTCCCCTTGTTCGCGTCCCACCAGTGTTGAATAGTTTATCCTTGTTTACCCGGTCGATTCCTCTGAGGATTTTGTAGGTTGTGATCATGTCTCCCCTTACTCTTCTGTCTTCCAGTGTCGTAAGGTGCATTTCCCGCAGCCTTTCCTCGTAACTCATGCCTCTTAGTTCTGGGACTAGTCTAGTGGCATACCTTTGGACTTTTTCCAGCTTCGTCTTGTGCTTGACAAGGTACGGGCTCCATGCTGGGGCCGCATACTCCAGGATTGGTCTTACATATGTGGTGTACAAGATTCTGAATGATTCCTTACACAGGTTCCTGAACGCTGTTCTGATGTTAGCCAGCCTCGCATATGCCGCAGACGTTATTCTTTTTATGTGGGCTTCAGGAGACAGGTTTGGTGTGATATCAACTCCTAGATCTTTCTCTCTGTTCGTTTCATTAAGTACTTCATCTCCTATTCTGTATCCTGTGTTTGGCCTCCTATTTCCACCACCTAGTTTCATTACTTTGCATTTACTCGGGTTGAACTTCAACAGCCATTTGTTGGACCATTCACTCAGTCTGTCTAGGTCATCTTGTAGCCTCCTACTATCGTCCTCAGTTTCAATCCTCCTCATAATTTTTGCATCATCGGCAAACATTGAGAGAAACGATTCTATACCCTCTGGAAGATCATTTACATATATCAGAAACAGTATAGGTCCAAGGACTGACCCCTGCGGTACTCCACTCGTAACGTCTCGCCAATCTGAGACCTCACCCCTCACACTGACTCGTTGTCTCCTGTTACTTAGGTACTCCTGTATCCAACGGAGTACCTTCCCTTTCACTCCAGCCTGCATCTCCAGTTTTTCACTAGCCTCTTGTGTGGCACTGTGTCAAAGGCTTTCTGACAATCCAAAAATATGCAGTCTGCCCACCCTTCTCTTTCTTGCCTTATTTTTGTTGCCTGGTCGTAGAATTCAAGTAACCCTGTGAGGCAGGACCTGCCATCCCTGAATCCATGTTGATGCTGTGTTACAAAGTTCTTTCGCTCCAGATGTTCCACTAGCTTTCTTCGCACAATCTTCTCCATCAACTTGCATGGTATGCAGGTTAGGGACACTGGTCTGTAATTCAGTGCCTCCTGTCTATCCCCTTTCTTGTATATCGGGACTACGTTAGCTGCTTTCCAAATTTCTGGCAGTTCCCCTGTTGCCAGTGATTTGTTATACACCATGGAGAGCGGGAGGCACAGTTCTTCTGCTCCTTCCTTTAGTATCCAAGGGGAGATTCCATCTGGACCTATAGCCTTTGTCACATCCAATTCTAGTAAACACTTCCTTACTTCCCCGCTGGTAATCTCAAACTCTTCCAGTGGTTCCTGGTTAGCTATTCCCTCTCTTATCTCTGGGATTTCTCCTTGCTCCAAGGTGAAGACCTCCTGGAATTTCTTATTCAGTTCCTCACACACTTCCTTGTCGTTTGTAGTGAATCCTTCTGCCCCTAACCTTAATTTCATAACCTGTTCCTTTACTGTTGTTTTTCTCCTGATGTGGCTATGCAGCAATTTAGGCTGAGTCTTTGCCTTGCTTGCGATGTCATTTTCGTATTGTCTTTCTGCCTCTCTTCTCATCCTAACATATTCATTCCTGGCATTCTGGTATCTTTCTCTGCTCTCCAGTGTCCTGTTATTCCTATAGTTTCTCCATGCCCTTTTACTTTGCTGCTTAGCTAGCCTACATCTCTGATTAAACCATGGGTTTCTCATCTTCATTTCACTGTTTTCCTTTTGGACTGGGACAAACTTGTTTGCTGCATCCTTGCATTTTTGCGTGATGTATTCCATCATATCTTGGGCCGTCTTTTCCCTGAGCTCTGTTTCCCATGCTATATCTGCTAGGCATTTTCTTATCTCCTCATAGTTTCCCTTTCGGTATGCTAACCTTTTGGTTTCGGTATCCCTTCTCGAGTTCAATAACCCTTCTTCAATCAGGTACTCAAACACCAATACACTGTGGTCGCTCATTCCTACTGGGTCCTCAAAACTGATTTCTCTTATGTCAGAGTCGTTCAGGGTGAAAACCAGGTCGAGTCTCGCTGGTTCGTCGTTTCCTCTCATCCTTGTGGGTTCACTGACATGCTGGGTTAAGAAGTTTCTAGTCGCCACCTCCAGTAGTTTGGCTCTCCACGTATCCTCGCCTCCATGCGGTTCCTTGTTCTCCCAATCAATCCTGCCGTGATTGAAGTCCCCCATGATGAGCAGGTGGGATCTATTTCTACAGGCAGAAGAGGCTGCCCTCTCAATTATAGTGTTAACTGCCATGTTGTTGCTTTCGTACTCTTGACTGGGTCTTTTGTCATTTGGTGGAGGATTATATATTACTGCTACTACTATCCTTGGTCCTCCCATTGTCATGGTGCCTGCTATGTAGTCTCTGAAACCCTCACAGCCCGGGATAGTCATCTCCTTAAAACTCCATTCCTTTCTCATGAGTAGGGCCACTCCTCCTCCTCCCCTACCTTCCCTCTCTTTCCTTATTATTGTGTACTCCTGGGGAAACACGGCATTCGTTATGATTCCAGAGAGTTTTGTTTCAGTGAGTCCAATTACATCTGGGTTCACTTCTTGTGCTCTTTCCCTTAGTTCACTTGCCTTGCTTGTGATCCCATCTATGTTCGAGTACATTGCCCTGAAACTAACTCTCTTCTGTTTCTCCTCTGGGGAGGACCTGTGGGGTCTGGGGTGAGCAGGAGCTGGGAGGATCTGGTATGGGGAGACTGGTGGAGGAGGAAGGGCTTGGGGGGTAGGGGTGAGGGGGAGGGTAGGGGTAGGGGGAGGGTAGGGGGAGTGGGTGAGGGGGGAGTGGGTGAGGGGGGGAGGGTAGGGGGAGTGGGTGAGGGGGGGAGGGTAGGGGGAGTGGGTGAGGGGGGGAGGGTTGGGGGGGTGGGTTTTGGGGGGGCAATAAAGTGGGGAGGGCGTGGGGGGAAAGGGAAGGCTGAGGTGGTTGAGGAAGAGGGGAGGGTTTTGGGGAGTGGTGGAGAGGGGAAGGCTTAGGTGGGGTGGGGGAGAGTGGGGAGCTTAGGGGGGTGGGGGAGAATGAAGGGCTTGTGGGTGGGAGGGACGGAAGGGCATGTGGGAGAAGGGAGGGCTTGGGGGATGGGGGAGAAGGGAGGTCCTGGGGGGAGGGGGGAGTGGGAGGAGGGGGGTGAGTGGGAGGAGGGGGGTGAGTGGGAGGAGAGGGGTGCCTTAGGTGGGTACTTAGTGGGGGGCTGACAGGGGTTGGGGCAGGTAGGGTGTCTGTTGGGTGGAATGAAGGGGTGGTGCCGCACTCCCTGTGGCTAATGCACTGTTTGAGGAGGGTTCCCCGTTTCCCTCTGGGATTGTAGGGATCGGGGGTGTGGCTCCCTGATTCCTTTCTCTCTCCCTGCGCTCCTTCCTCGCGTCTGCTGCTTGCATTCTCTCTTCCCTTGTCATATCCCTCTGCAAGAATAGTACATCTAGCCGCTTCCTCCTGTGTGTGTGTGTGTGTGTGTGTGTGTGTGTGTGTGTGTGTGTGTGTGTGTGTGTGTACATGAACCTAACAATGAAACTTCAAGAGTATATTTAAATACGCCACACGAAAAACATTACATTTACTGTAAAGTTCAACAAGAAAAAAAATGCCACTTTTCAAGAGCCAACTTCAGGACGTGAAGGTATGTATCACCTTACATTTGTACCGGATCCCCAGTTAATAATGTCACGGCGTGAGAATACAGGCTGTGTACTGTCTTCCAGCAGAGATCCGCTTCATTAGTGGTGACAAAGGTTCTTTATTTACACTGGAGTCTTTGATACAGTCATTCCTCAGAACACTCTTGAAAAATATATTAATCCCCCGAATTAAGTTTATCCTGAACTTTAAGCTTCAAAAATGTCGTTCATTACTAAGAATACGCTAGATGCCATTCGATTTTTTTTTCCTAAATTTATTCGTTAATTATAGCCTAAATTTATTTTCAATACACTTTTACAGAAGCTTCACGACAGGTTCCAATTGTTAAAGTTTAGGCTAGTGTCCGCCCCCCCCCCCCCCCCCCCCTCTCACCGCCTGACGCTGCTGAATTATTCGCGTGTTCAAACACATTGTAAATTGTATTCGAAATTTACAAGAGAGACTAATGGAACATCAAGGTTTTTTTTTTTACATAGGACTAATTTGATTCTAAGTAAGCCTTTGAAATCTGATATCTGAGAGCATTGTATTAGCCTCGACCAGAAATTGAATTTATGTAACTTTAAAACATTGAACAAAATGTTCTAATAACCTTGAATTAGATTGTTGGAATATATGTGGCAGTCACTCTCCGTGTTGATCTTAGTTCATAGTCTCTTGTGAGCGAATAATTAACTGAGATAGTGGAAAAAATAGCTCTGATTTACCGTGAAACTTTTAATTCTTCTTCTTGAGTTACAATGCTTTTTCTAGTATAATTAATATGTAATTGTCAAGTCTCTTTTATCGCGAGGTGGAATATTGTGCGGTATCGACCCGGGACCACAGATCTGTCTCTGTGCTTGTTCTATTTTCCTCTTTATCTGTCAGTCTGTATTTTTTCAGTCTTCCTGTGTGTACTCACCTAATTGTGCTTGCGAGGGTGTGGGAGAAGTGTGGGAGCGTGGGTGTGGGAGGATGAGAGCGTGGGTGTGGGAGGAGGAGTGTGGGAGCGTGGGTGTGGGAGGATGAGAGCGTGGGTGTGGGAGGAGGAGTGTGGGAGCGTGGGTGTGGGAGGATGAGAGCGTGGGTGTGGGAGGAGGAGTGTGGGAGCGTGGGTGTGGGAGGAGTGTAGGAGGAGGAGTGTGGGAGGATGAGAGCGTGGGAGCGTGGGTGTGGGAGAATGAGAGCGTGGGTGTGGGAGGAGGAGGAGCGTGGGAGCGTGGGTGTGGGCGTGCAGAGACAGGGCAGAGATGGATCAAGGTGTTGACACAGGGCTGTGGGCCCTCCAGCCTGGCCCCTGGACCGGCCTTCGCTCACTACAATTGTCTCTGCCTCGAATCTCTATGATATTCCATATTAAGAGCCCAGCCAGACACGTATGCCTCCTACCGGGGAGCATTGTCCAGTCTCCAGGTCTTCGTTGAGCTGGGGCATTGTCTAGCCGGTAGGTCTTAGTGGAGCATTATGATCTCCAAGTCAGGGTGAACATCCGTCATGTCTCTAGGGTACCAGAGACATCCGTTAAGTCTAACAGATTTACCGTCCAGTCAAGTCTCCAAGTCTTGACAAGGACTGAGTAACCTCAAAGACAGCCTCTACACAACGTTCCAGGAACCAGGCAGCCTCTCCACCACCTTCCAGGAACCAGGCAGACTCTCCACCACCTTCCAGGAACCAGGCAGCCTCTCCACCACCTTCCAGGAACCAGGCAGCCTCTACACCACCTTCCAGGAACCAGGTAGACTCTCCACCACCTTCCAGGAACCAGGCAGACTCTCCACCACCTTCCAGGAACCAGGCAGACTCTCCACCACCTTCCAGGAACCAGGCAGCCTCTCCACCACCTTCCAGGAACCAGGCAGCCTCTACACCACCTTCCAGGAACCAGGTAGACTCTCCACCACCTTCCAGGAACCAGGCAGACTCTCCACCACCTTCCAGGAACCAGGCAGACTCTCCACCACCTTCCAGGAACCAGGCAGCCTCTCCACCACCTTCCAGGAACCAGGTAGACTCTCCACCACCTTCCAGGAACCAGGCAGCCTCTACACCACCTTCCAGGAACCAGGCAGACTCTCCACCACCTTCCAGGAACCAGGTAGACTCTCCACCACCTTCCAGGAACCAGGCAGCCTCTACACCACCTTCCAGGAAAAGGCGCGCTCTTAAAAATTACCAATGTGTTGCATGATGTATTAAGGTCATGACTTCAAACTGACTTAATTGTTACCACATCCGTGAGCACCCAATTAAAATTCCAGCAACGACGGCACAGCAACCCCCGGCGTGTCCCAGCTACGACGGCACAGCAACCCCCGGCGTGTCCCAGCTACGACGACACAGCAACCCCCGGCGGCACCCAGCTACGACGACACAGCAACCCCAGGCGGCACCCAGCTACGACGACACAGCAACCCCAGGCGGCACCCAGCTACGACGGCACAGCAACCCCAGGCGGCACCCAGCAGCTAAGGAAAGCTTCTTGACCTCTTCCTTCCCCCTAAGTAGATTTAACAGTGCTTGGCTGTATGAAAGACCTGGAACAACATGGAGTAACAGCCGGCCTTAAGGGAGGCGGATTCACTAGAGTGAAGGGTCACATTGAAGGCAGGTGGAGATGAGGTCTTACCTTCGTGGGGGGAGGGGGGGAGGGCGAATGGTCTTACCTGTCACCTGACGTGCTAACAAGAGCACCCCTTCCCCCTCCAAGTCCCCCCCCCCCACACAACAGGTAATGAACACTGTATAAGAATACATGAAACAAAAGATTTAGTAAAAATGTAATCATCAATATATTTAACCCGGAAGGCCGTATGTCCTAAGGGTGCGGTGAACCCTACACCCGGCTGGGGTCTCCGGCTGGGGCACCCTTGCTCCCTCTCTCCCTCCCTCCCTCCCTACACCTCTGTATACACAACACTCATGTGTAAACACAGTCGTTGACCCTTTTAGCCTCTCCCTGAGAACCGATCACATTCCCTCCCTTCCCAACCTCCCCACTCCCTTCCCAGCCTCCCCACTCCCTTCCCAGCCTCCCCACTCCCTTCCCAGCCTCACTACTCCCTTCCCAGTCTCACTACTCCTTCCCAGCCTCCCCACTCCCTACCCAGCCTCCCCACTCCCTTCCCAGCCTCACTACTCCCTTCCCAGCCTCCCCACTCCCTTCCCAGCCTCACTACTCCCTTCCCAGTCTCACTACTCCCTTCCCAGCCTCCCCACTCCCTACCCAGCCTCCCCACTCCCTTCCCAGCCTCACTACTCCCTTCCCAGCCTCCCCACTCCCTTCCCAGCCTCCCCACTCCCTTCCCAGCCTCACTACTCCCTTCCCAGCCTCCCCACTCCCTTCCCAGCCTCCCCACTCCCTTCCCAGCCTCCCCACTCCCTTCCCAGCCTCCCCACTCCCTTCCCAGCCCCTACCCTTCTCTTTTTCCAGTCCCTCTCTCCATTTCCAAACCCTCTTTCCAGCTCTTCCTCTTCCTTGCCTGTCTTTCCATCCACTCTGCTCCCTTCCTCTTTATTTGGCACTTAAATATAATTTTAATTTTGCCCGAAGGGTGAGTTTGTAGAGCAACGTCACTCATGTTGTGAGTGAACACATGCCGTGTGGTCATCCTGTGATGGTTCCGAGGATCAACGTCCCCGCGGCCCGGTCTCTGAGCAGGCCTCAATCAATCAATCATATTCAGGTAAAGATACCCAAGGGGAGAGCAGCTTGGTGGATACAGGTAAAGAGTAGTCTTGGGAAGGAAGTGTCTGTGGTTAAGGGTGCTCAGCTGCACCCTTAACCCCTTAAGGGTTAAGGGTGACCCCTGCTGCTGCATGACTTGAGACGGGGCTTGCAACCCAGCGGGTTTTCTTCCTATTGGGGAGTGTTGTACATGCTGCTATGGCGGTGTGTCCACCCACAGGATGAGTGGCGCTGCTGCCCAATAAATTCACCCTTCGGGGCAAAATTTACAATTTAATTCACACTAGGTAGGCTGGGCAGGAGGGGGGGGAGGGTTGCAGGAGGCTGAGAGAGGCGGTCCTGAAGGATTGCAGGAAAATTCTAGTGATATCTGCAAAGCATAATACAGTAGTCTATAGTTTGTATCCTTGTTCATGTCTGATATGAGGATGAGAAAAATTACTGGAGGGGGACTGAGCTATTCATGGTGGATGAATAGCTCAGTTTTTACTTTGTTGTTTATTATACTCTGGGTTTTATGGGTTGTGAAATTGAAAAGCCATCGTCCTATTTTGCCGGTTATTCCTTTTGACCGCATTTTGAGGGCAGTAACACCATGCTCTGTGGGGAAAAATTCCAGGCAGCTAATCTCTCTTTTCAAATTGATTTAATAAAATAAAGTTATGTCTTATTTATTTTCTTAGTAAGTAAGTATTAATTAAGTGGACTGTATGTACTGGTAAACTGCCTGAAATCTTCTTACACACTATTGGGAGGGACAATTGGTAGCTTAAACCACTTTGTTATAGTCCCTTCTTAAACTACCAATTGTTTACCTTTAAAACTATTATTTCAGTTATTTCATTATAAGTAATTAATTATAACTACTGCTACTGCTATAATGTCTTAGCTGTGCCAGTAGAATGGGCCTAGTAAGGCGTGTAGGTGTAGCCTCAAGATGGGTGTGGCCCTGCCTCTTTGTGCCACGTAATGGCGGCTGGTGGGAAGGACAAGGCTTGGCAAACAAGTAGTTAATTATGTGTATGAACCAACTGTCTGCACAGATTCTTGAAGCTCCTCTCACAATTTACCTGTATGGGATGCAAGGAATTAATCAAAGTTCCCTAAACATATCAATTACAGGTATGACATGAACTGTGAGGGCTGTAATGGGGTACACGTACGGTGTTTTTGGGGATGTCCTACGACATAACCATCTACATATTTATATTAAACAGTGCACTTGAATAATAAACAATACTTGGTAGACGGATACAGATGTCGTTGTGATGTTGTTAGGCTGTGTGGCTGGTGTTGACACGTAAATGGGGTGTCTAGCTGTTTACACCAGTTAAGACAGCGTGGTATGCTCATCCCATGTTTTTTGTTGATGTTGTATGTATGGACGCCTTCCTCTCCGGGGTGACGCTCTTATGCTCTGGTTCCTCACTCAAAGTAATTTTACATTAACAAGGGAACCTAGCTACTATTTGATGTAAATAATTATATTCATTCTTAGTGATTACTTTTTTATTAACTTTAGATACTAAACTAATCTATTAACAATGTTTCATAATGTAAATATACGATGACTTTGATGACGTCACGGAGTCGATGACGTCACGGAGTCTCCCATTTTCCATCCTGAAGGGAGTATAGACTAGGGGAGACTGTGTTATTTGTGTGTGTGGTTGTGTGTGTGTGTCGGTTTCCCGACATAATTCCCAGGGGCAGAACACGGGTCGAAGTCCCGGTAAGGACTGCGATCACTTTATTCTTCTCCCTCAGAATTATAGTGCTGCTTTAATTTGAGTTTACATTGTTGTGCAGCAGTCCGTTGGGGACGTATGTCCCGTACTGGCGTATCGGGTGCTGGAAGTCGTTGTACGTCTTCTTTCCTGGCCAGTTCTAAAGGTACTAATTTCTCTAAAGTTTTGAGAGTAGTGTTGCCTTTGCATTTTACTTTCACTATTCTCAAGATGCCCTGGCTGTCTGGATGAACAGAGACTATTTCTCCTATAGGCCACTCCGAGCGTGGTCCGTCACTATCCACCAGAACTATGTCACCAGGGTTCAAGTTAATTCTATTATAGGGACTGTTTGCCCCGTAATGATACTCCCTCAGAGCTGTTAGGTATTCACGAGTCCATACGTCATTCCACCGACTTATCACCCCTGAAAGATGTTTGAAACGTTGAACCAAATCACTCTCTTTGACATATGAAGGATCCTCTGGTTCCTCATCCGTAAGGGACACAAGTGTTTTGAGAGGTCTCCCATACATCAAATGAGCTGGACTTAATGGTTCACGCTGCAAAGCATCATCAGAGAGGTAGGTAAGTGGTCGGTTGTTAACTCGTGCTTCTATTTCTATGATTACTGTTTGAAGCTCCTGAAGGTCAATCTTTTGGCGGTGTAGGGTTTTCCGTAAAGACCGTTTCACCGTACCAACCATCCGTTCATAGAAGCCTCCATGCCATGGTGCTCTGGGAGGTATGAATTTCCAATAGCACTGCCGTTGAGTTAGGGCTGTGCGTACCTTGGGGTGTGTCCAGATTTTCCTCAGGCATGCTTCTCCTGCCACCAAGTTGGACCCATTGTCTGAAATCATTAACTTGGGACAAGATCTACGTGAAGCAAACCTGCGGAAAGCCTGTAAGAATGCTTCGGCACTCATATCGGGAGTCACTTCTAGATGGACTGCCCTTGTTGTGGCACAAGTAAAAAGACAGATATAGGCCTTTACTGGTTTCTTGTCTTTAGTGCCTGTCAGTGTTAGTGCTCCTGTGAAATCTACTCCTGTTGTCTCAAAAGGATGAATATGTACGACTCGTTCCTTCGGAAGTGGAGGAGGGCCAGGATATGGACACACTCTGGCATCGTATCTCCGGCATACAACACAGGATTTGATTATGGATTTTACTGTCTGTCTACCTTGGGGTAGCCAGTACTGTTGTCTTAATTCTGTGAGAGTATCTAATACCCCACCATGCAGAGTGCAGTATTTGTGTATATGTAACACAATTAGTTTGCTTACTATGTGGTGACGAGGGAGCAATATTGGATTTTTTGCCTCCAGATCTATGTCAGCATGTTGTAAGCGTCCTCCGCATCTTATCAAGTTATAATTGTCAGTGTCTAACCAGAGACCCAGATCATGTTGTAGCTTCTTAGGAACATTGTCAATTTCTGTCCCGAATGTGTCGGTCTGAGCTCTTTTAACCCAGTACCTTAAGGCACTAGGGAAATTATGCTTGATTCCTATTTTCTTTAGAAAATCAAACACTACTTGGGTGACACCTACAAGTTTGTTCAGTTCAGAGTACCGAGCAGGATCAATTACCAAAGTCTGAGGTAGTTCCGGGTTCTCAGTGGGAACAGTGACATTGGTCACAATGACTTGTGGCTTTTGTTCAGGCCACTGGTCGCTGATTAGCCACTGAGGTCCATTGAACCACATCTCTGCCTTTGTTAATTGCCGTAAAGTCAGGCCTCGGGAGAG